GATATCAGCATAACCAATGCCGGAGCTATCATAATCTCGCTCAAACGTTTTGCTATTTATTTGATTTTTTCGATTATTGTTATTTTTAGCTTTTATTTATCCTTTTGTTTCAAGATATATATGTAATTTAATGCCCCAATATGTAGTGGGTTACACACTATACTTATTAAAGTGATTTACATCATATTTTCTATCTTTTTATCTACAGTAAGGTTACTAGTTGATTTCTTGGAGATTGGTAGTCGCAAAGAAATTGACCATTTGAGGAAAATTGCGTGTCCTTTTATTTAAGATAGATTTACTATTTAATGTCCCTTTTTATCCAGAATCTATTATGAATCGAAATAAGGAATTAATTTTAAATGTGCATCTAATCTTTACCTTGAGCCCAAGAGAAGTTCTTATTAAAGATGAATTGTAAATTTGTTCCTGGCTGACAATTGATCAAGCTTTCTGCGATTTAGATGCATAAGTTAGGATAGACTCACCCTAAACACAAGTACCTCCCTATTATCCTTACCACAGAGCTACAACATGACTACATTTCTGTTCAACTGTGGCACAACTGAGATGCCACAACGGTTGAAGAGAAACTTGGTCAAGAGGCTTGCATTTACTTGTCACTGATAAGATATTAATCGGTGATAAGGATGGCACCTCTAATTGACGGTGTCGACGCGCATTGCTCTGGCTGGCTATACGATTGACTGGAATACGACGGAAAGTCTTGCCTCACATGGGGGAAAACAAAAAAAAATTAGATGAATTATAAGAGGGTGTGGTTAATGAGAATTTCGCTTATTGTTCTGCAGGCTTGGAGCAGTCCCGATTTAAGCAAGGAAAGGTAAAAGGGAATGCTTGGGTTAAGGACATCTATCGAGTAATAGGGAGGGACCTCTTTGGGATGTTGTTTATGAGGGGTAACCGAAAGTGGTGTCCTTTCGGCGATTCCTTATTTCATAATTAAGGGGGTTCTTTTTTGGTCCAGTATTTTCAATTAAGGCCTCACACAGGGCCCCAGAAAATGAGGGAGAATAGGGTGGGGTGATAAAGAGGACAATTGGGCTATGGGGCTCTGGAACCTAGGAACGGTGGGCGTGATAATTATCGTCTTAAAGTACTCATATGGCGTAAACGGAGGCCGGTTTATAGACAGCCAATTATACTCTCATCTTCATATGCAACAGGGCTCAGTTGCTGCTAGTGTGGAGACAGCTAAATAGAAGTGCCAGTTGGGTACCAGAAGCCCTGCCAACTGTATCTTAGATCGGTAGTCAAAGTGGTTACGTTTCATTAAATCTACTTTAAGTGACACTTAGGCAACGGTAGGGCAAGCGAAGATTCAGTATGGTGCGAATAAGTAAGTTGGGTTGAGGGGTAGGGATATAGTGGTTGGAGTTGGGGCAGGGGGGATGGGATATGCCACAAGGGTTGGTCAGAAAACTGGTCGAGAGGATTGCCTTCACTTGTAACTGGTACATCGTAATTTTTTAAAATGATGGCGCCTTGCACTGACGATGCCGTTGAAACGTTTGCAAATGTACCAAATCACCAGTTGGGTGTTGAAAATTATCATGGATGCTGTCGGCGAGGACGCAAGACGCAGAAAAGAATGTAAGATGTAAAAATGTTCAAAGAAACGAGTTTATTGTGATGGGATACAAGATGTTGAGGTGAATGAAGTACGAATTTATGTTAATCGTGGAGATGCTACTCTTGAAATCTATGGTTGAAATGGCCACCTATTAACTTTCCCGCAGAATAGAAGCGGTCCAATTTTGTTTTCGCAACTTGATCGTGTTGTCAGGGCGACTCAGTTGGATGTAACTTGTCCGAATTCCTAAACAACTTAGAACGGCCTAAGGAAAAGTCGAAGCTGCATCCCACCCTGGGTGAAAATGCTCTTCTCAGGTGAGCTTTCTGAAGCAAGAGTTTCGCGTCTGTCTTGGACAGCTCGTCAACTGACTGCCATATCTTTTCCAACCAGTGCCATCAGGCACTGGTTGTGCTGACGGGACTTCAGGCGATGAGGTAGCATCTTTTGCTTTATTTTGGTCCACTGGTACCGGCCACAGGTAATGGATCGGCAATCTCAGTGGCCAGAGGACACGTCTTCGGGACTCGGTTTTGCTCACCAACAAGCTGCGATCTTGTGCCTCCCTCCCGAAGCGTTTGGCAACCTCAAAATTCTCGTGTGAAAGGATACAGCCGAGGCCAGCTGAAGTCCGCATTAGAGTGAAGACAAGAGGAGCTCGTGCATGCGCTGCCACCAACTAGTTTTACTCATCTCTGCGGCTGAACTTTGATTATGCCTTCGTCGCCCTGCCTACAGAAGAGCCCCAACAATTGAAAAGTCGATGATGCTGGTGACAAGGTCCAATGAACAATGTGCCAAGACGACAGTGAACTTGTTTATACGCGGTGCTCACTTGATGTCGGGACAATGCCTTCGGCAGCCCCTCACAAAGTGACACTGCACTTTAGTAGCATCAATTGCGATTCACCCTGACATGTGGCTATGCCAGAGTCAGGTGAAGATCCGGCTGCCTAGGCAACTGGTGAGACGGCAACGGGTCAACTAGCGGTAAACATCTACCCGTCAGGGAGCGGAGTTGACATAAAGTACAAGTACCTGTGGGTCAGGAGAACTTGCGCCGGGCTTCCGGTTCAGTTAGGCCGCCTGAGCGCCCTATCGCCGCTGTGCCCATAAGGTAAATCATACAGCGTGCTGACATCAGCCCAACGGCCATACTGGCCAAATTAGGGCTAGTCTCGGCAGAATCGCGTCTCACTGAAGCGCTAAACGTCTTTCTATTCATTACCATCCTCATTGTTAGGGCTTTAGGCGCCTAAGCTTGGCCATTCTGCCATTTACTGCGGGAAAGTATGTGAAATGGCGTCAAACAGACCTTGTATGCATTTCTTGTGTGAGGAGGCTCCCTCCGTTCTCAGGATCTACATCATTTCTGAGCCGGCCGGTAAGTGGAAATGAACCCACCTCCAATATTTATACCACTTATCTTACTTATCTTAGCTACCACCATGGATGCATGATACTATCACAATTATCAATGGACTTAAAGAATTTACGGAGAAAATGCGGGTTTCACCGAATTTCCTGAGATAAGATTGTTGTGAAGACTTTCATTTCGTTTGAAACTGGATGAGGAAGTGATTTGTAGGTCAAGCCTACCAGAAGATGCCGGTTGATTCGTGTTGTACTGCAATCGTTTGGCTTTTTTACGACATTCAGTTTAACGCAGTTCACTGGACCTCTTCCAACGTTTCAGGGAAAGACAGGCTGACCATTTGTTCATAATGGGACTCATCCTTGCAAAAGCCTTAACATTAAGTTAATACATCTCATATTACTGATTTACTGGTAGTCTCGAAACTCTGCTTACATACAAAAAATAAGTAACGTAGTCGATTTTTATGGCAAAAATAAATTTGCTTCATCGACACTCCCACCAGAGAATGTGATATAGGAAAAGGCTTGGCCTTCCTTGAAATTCACACCTGCCCTGTGACCCAAATACACTCGCGGCAATGTGGCCGGGTGATTAACGTGTCAGGCTCACATGCTGCACTGTCACGGTTTAAACTCCCGCTGGGAAGTCGAACAACTTTTGAGAAAGTAAGGCTATGTGAAATTGAATGGAAACGTCAGCTCTACTCATAAGATTGTGGGAAAATTCTACTATCAGTCCTCCATCACCTTAAACGTAAAAGAGGTGAATACATCTCATTAAGTCACGAAGACTGACCGGCTTTTTCATATATGCTATATATACTAATTGCAGGAAAAATTTAGCTGTAGATGGATCTAAAAAGGTTTGGTTAATTCACTCATACTCGAGTGTGTCTGTGTGTGCATTCATGTTAACGTCAACGCAGAATAATTAGAATAAATTTAACGTCAGTTTCGAGTCATCAAGGCTTAACGACCCAAAGAAAGAAACATGACCGAGATTGCGTTAGTGCGTAAGTAACCCTGGTTGAATTGTCGATATGTAAGCCTGTATGTGTTACGAAGCAACCAGTTCGAAGCCATTAGTTTAATGACCTAACCAGAAGCATGGCTGACATTGCTTAGTCTTGCACTTCGGTTTTGGTTGACGAGCTTGACATGCCTGTTGAACGATTGTGAATTTGGTTGGGACCATCAGACAGCTGACAAATTGAGTCGTCTTCTTTTGGACGGATGCTCAATAATCTCTCTTGCAATCTTTCAATCATGCATAAGTACTTCTTGCTCATCTTTCTACCATTAGGAACTCGAAAATAATGCCTCCATCGAGGCAGCCTTAGCACGACGAATAAGTTGCGAAGCCAGGATGAAACTCCAACTTGGTCGCCATATCTGCGAGTGGATTTTAGAGCTAGAGTGTTCAGAGTTTGATCTCAATTGTTTTAGTACTTTTATCAAAAGTTTTGGTACTCTTTACCTCAAAGAACGAGGAAAGAGGTAAATTCATGCCGCCGAGGCCAAGCTAAGGCTAAAGTCGCCTTTCTCAAGTCAACTTAACCGGATACGAAGCCTTATCTGCTCGTGATAAGGCTTTGTTCTTTGGGTTGAATTGACATCAACCGGGAAGTACATTTCTCGAATTCATTTCCCAAAGATTGTGCCCCACTGGAGCTGTGCACTTGTTCAGAAAGCATTCCATTCTCAAGGGCTTTCTCGCTTGGCCTCCTCAGCTAATCGCAAGCGAGAAATGTTCCTCAACGAAGCCAGCATAATAAAAGACGAGGCGGGACCAAGTCGACCAAAGACTAGGTTTATAAACGATCTGGTTAAATCTAGCGATCAGTTTCCTGATCGTTGTCAATGTTTACCCTTTCATATGCTGGTGCTACCACCAGAGACTGGCTTTAATTACGAGGAAGAGAAGAACTACCTTGAGTCGTCTTCGACGTCTTTCTCACTACCCTCTGCGGGACTCGAACCATGGGCGTGTTTGGAAAGTCAGGTCTTTCATAGAAACCAGTTTGGCTAGGACCGAATGGCCTGTCTTCTGAGCTATATGGTGCAATGAATGACAGCGAAGAACTCAAGTATCCTCTTCACGACGTCGTTGGCGGAGCTTTTGTAAGTTTCTTTAATGAGGCAAAACCTTAGCATTGCCGGCCATTCTCTTGTCAGGCCTTATTCAAGCCTACCTGCTGAAATCAGCCTCAATTTCATGCATTTAAGAGACCAGGTTGCTTGCGTAACCGTACTTTGGGGGAGTATAATCAGATTTTAAAATAGTAGCGCAATCAAAGCTTCTGTTGAATCTAGGAAACACCACCATGGAGACGTAAGTAGGCCTCGGATGAACGCGATTCGAAGCTCGAAATGTAAGAATAATGCATAAAACGTTATCGGCTAACTGGACTTACTTCTGACAGTCGTAGTAATTTCAGCTGGTTTCGCTTAGAATAGCCTATACCACTCGTTTACCATCAAAGCAGAGGCCTCTGGATACGACGGAATCCGATCACTATCCTATAAAGATTACTCTTTCGTCCTAGCAACAGCAAGAATGCATACAACATGATAAAACTATGTAT